TATTTTTATTTTTTGTTTGTTTTACTTTTTGTTCTTATTTATTGAGAATTTCATGTCTACTCACCTAAATTATCTAACTAATAATATTAGTTTTGTAACTTAATTGTAATTCCCTAAACTAAAATATTTAATAAATAGCCTATTAGTTAAGTTTGCTGCAAAAAAACGTACTACGAATTAAATCGTAACGCACTGATCAATCAAATTAGGCTTTAGCAAAATGCACTTACTTTAAGAAATAATAATAACAAAGTAGGGGGTTATAGTTATTTGTGTAACTAGTGAGAAAAGTGAGGCAATTGTACTTTGAACTCGAGTTGCACATTATACTTTTCCTACAGTTACCATAAGACAAATAAATTGGTGAAGAAACATTTATTTCAATTGGCTACAATTTGTATTTTAGCAAATTGCTTTATAGTGGAGCTATTGTAGCAGGGGCCACGGAGAGACCTAGATCCGGGAACGATACACTTTTTCATTAATATCCCTATAGGACAAACACAGTTCGTTAAATTTATATATTCAGGATTGAAGATTAAGGATTTAAGGATCGTTGAATTTAATTAGTAACCAATTGTGTAATATGTACTATTTTTATTAAGTTAGTTATGAATAATTTATAACTCTTGATTTCCCTGTCATACACAACACGTTTGTAAAATGTTGTATTTTATAAATGCAAATAAATCGTACTTCGTGTTACTTTCTACTCTAAGGGACATTCTAATCTCAGTCAAGGCCCCGTTAGGCCCTAATGGACCAGTAATCAGCCAAATCAGCTGTTGTGGTGACGCCCTAACACTTGGCCTTGAACCTACAGGTGGTGCTCGGGAAAGTGGAGTAGGCTTCCATCAGAAGAAACTGTTTTGAATAGATAAACTGTAATAGCTGTAACAGTGTAATGTTATAGAATTAGATACGATTGTAAACAGTAGATTTCACCACTGGAGCTTAAAGAGAATATTTTCGACTCGAGCTTATGCTGAGTTTGGATTATGAGCGAGGGATGGGTACACTTTTGAGCGGTGAGCATAGCACTGTTTTAATCGTGCTGGGCCTTTATAATCAGCGCTAACTAACTTACAAAACAATAATTGTGTAAACTTTTTATCTTGATAAATGAGCTTCAAAATAATGCGTTCAAATCTTGTTTTGTTATTATTGGTTCCATTAGTTTACTCAATGGTTATAGGGAACTTGTATTGCTTCGCCCAAACAATAATAAATTCAAACTTATCAGATTTGTCTAAATAACTATAAAATTTAAAATATTGGTATTATCAAAGTGAATAATTGAATGTGACATGATAGTAAATATCAAAACATGTTTATGACAATTCAAAAATGTGTTTATCAATAGGGATTATTTTCTTCGAGAAATCAGTTGCTAAATTTAAAAGTAAAAACATTTTTATCTGATGTGCTCAACTCCAACTGATTATTTTTTGCCCTAAGAGTAAAATAGTGTATTTCATCACTAGGGCCTAAAGTGACTCTTTACAACCCGAGGTCAAGTTTTACCTGAAAATGAGCGAGGGTTTAAAAGACACTTTTTGCCCGTGTGATGAACCATATTTTTCGTCATATTGCAAAACAACCCACATTGTATTACATTATTTGAACAAACTTTGTTTTTACCCCGTAAAACCCTCCATAAAACCCCGTTCCCATGGTCCAATCATGCTGGTTCGCGAACTCATTCAAGTTTATCGCGCCTTGCACCTTCAGCCAATTTTATAAAAATCTGACCGAAATTACTCAAGTTATCGCGTACACGGGCGATATATACGTATATATATATATAAATTAACGACTAGTGTTTTTGGCCTCTAGGGACATCAAAACTAAAAAGTATATCGGTCCCAGGCCCAGGTCATACCGTGCCACCTACGGTAATGGTAATAGCCACTTCCCTATAGGGAAATTCGCTGAAATGCCACTTTAGACCAGCAGCAAGTGCATTAAAGACGGCTGTTTTTAGTGCAGTATGGCGACAATACGTGTTTAGCCAACGTGTGTATTGAAATTAGCCATTTTCGCTGAAATAAATAGAAACCCCATAAACATCTACATTATAATTGACCTTAATTTCATGTATATAACATTAGCATAAGGAGTTTCTATGTCTACTTAAAAGCTTCAGTTTGACGGTATAGATTGATTTCACTCCCATCACTGCTGTTCCGGTCTACTCACACCCGGCAGAACCTTTAATGGCTACAGAACTACCTTAGGAGGGACTTCCGCATTGACCACTGGACACTGGACTATTTATGTTCAGTAATTGCAGTTTAACAACAGTTCTTGTTACCAATAGAAGGCTTGTTCAATCAATAGACAACTTTGAAGTTCCCTGTTATCATGTGTATTTGTTTAAGTAGTCGTAACTTGAGCTCTTGGTCTGCACGGCTAAGAAATATTAAAAACTCGTTTTTCTAGTGTCTCGGAGTGAAAAATGTATTACTTTTTGAAAACTCATTCGTCAAATAATAAGACTTTTTTACATTAACCTTTTGTTACACTAATCCAATAATCGTTTATAATTGTTATAATTAAAATGCCGTAATTTTTTTCCATGAATGATACAATTGACACCAACGATCACGCTAAAAACAGCAGGACTTTCTAAATGGGTTGAAATTGCAGGCACTGATCAAGAGGTGCCACATTTGACAAATTGGCAACAGGCGTTTCTTAAGTAAGTCCACTGTCCGTAACATTTCTGTCATATGTAACGAAATATACTCACATGACAGTTTTGGTGCTGTTTGTATTATAGACTATTTATGAAACTGTTTATGTAAGCTAACTATTGATGTCCTTGGAAATGTCTGCATCTGAAGAGTCTCGCGGAAGTATTGAGCAAAAGATGAGCGATGTTACAATGGGAGCGATTACGTTTTATGGTGCAATTTTTCTCTTAAGTTAAGTGACCTTGACGTTTTTTGTTGAAGGTTGTAAGAGTTCTAGGAGTTAATCATGTTCTTCCTTTCACCCAGATGACGTATCAGAACACATCCACAACATCTTTAATATTATTTAACCATCTTATGTAAGTGTTTATAATATTCGTCCAGACGTAAAGCAATAAAACTCCTTATTCAATCTTAATATTCTTATTAAAGGTTTTGATCATATTTGATTTGCCGGAGTTATATTCAAATGTAATCATTGACATACAAATTAGTTTGGAAAAGCTATTTTATATAAGACAGTAAGATAATTCCAAGTTTAGTATTAATTCCGTTCAAAAAAGTGTCTGTCATGCAGTGACTATACTTTCTGCATCACGTTAATAATTGTTGGTTTGGTTAGATGGAGCTTGAGCTTTCGGCAAGCAGTAAGAAGTTATTACAACAATCTACTGATTGAATTATTGTTGTCAATTATATATTGCAAGGGACATTTTATTACCCATCACAACTTATTAAACTTATTTTAAAGAGATGCCGGCAGCAACGTTTTCATTAAACGATAATTGCTTTCCATACAAGTCCTTTAAAAACCAATCGCTATTTTAGTAAAACTTGTAAAGACACTCAGGTTCAGGTATATACTATAAAAAACTTAATTTAAAACGAGGAATTTAATTTTGATAACTCCATAATGCTATAGTTGGGTGTAAGCTAAATGAATCTTCGTTGCAATCTTTCGCTAAGCAAACCCAAATTATGAGTTATTGTAGGCTACTTAAAAGCCGCGGTTTGACTTGTCTTCTGTCTGTTCACAATTTAACCTCATATCCGGCGATTGCTTTATTTGAGCTAACGATGAACTTACTGACAAAAATGTGTTTGCGTGAGCAAACGAAGGTTTTACAACTTACGTAGCCTTCGTCAAAACAATGGAGAGTGAAGGACTTGGCGTCGTAATTGAGTCACTATAGTAACAAGCTTGCCGAAACAAGCTGTTTTATTTTCAAAAACAATAAATTGTATTGCACTTTTTATTCCAAATCATAATAAAATCCTCATATCAAGCAGTACAACTCATTACAAATGCACACTACATACATGCAAATGCATTACATACACAATGAGGCGTGTAAAATTGTGATAAAGTGAGTTGTTCTTAGGCATTAGATTGTTATGGTGGTGAGATTTGATTTTATTTCTCAATAGTATATAAATACTCCATAGTGTGAAGAGAAAACTATGATATAATTATTGTTCTAGCTAGAAAATATTTTTGGGCATCACTCACCTTTTTGAAATAAGGAGAACGCAGTCCTTATCATCACAGTTCATACAACACACGTTTAAAATAAAAACAAAAAGATTTGGGGGTCGTCATCATTATTTACTCTCAACGTTTACATGACGTTGACTTTGGTGCGACGAAACATCGGAATACAATTACTAAAGTCCTTAATTTTTTACGTGTTCGTGTGTGATTTAAACTGGGGGGACAGGTACTAAGTTCTCCTTGTTTCAAAAAGGTGAGTGATGCCAAAAAATGTATCTAACTGGATCAATGACCACACCCAAAAATCATGTCGTTTAAAAATATAATTATTGTTAACAGAAGTAAGGTTTAAACTTAATTAACGGATTTAAATGTTGTACTCCTTTGGATACTTGACCAAGAGCAATATCCCAGGCTGATCTGCTAATGTTCCCCTCAGAATAAGGTCTATAGGTGGTATACATACATTTATGTATTAGAAGTAATGTTCAATTTTATCATAAAATGATAAGAATACTTTATCAATACAACATTTTTCGACTCTAAGACTTGTAGCTGCAAAATTACAATATATTATTTTGACAATATTAATAAATCTTTTTTTATTATTTTTTTGTAGTCAACGAGTTTGACATTACATTAAGTATGCCTAAAAATGGGTGTTTAGCTATCTTCGTTTGCCTAACGGTCCATAAAACTGATTCTGTTAGATTTCAAAGGTATGAAATTCACTCATAATAATAATAAAGCACAGTCCAACTAAGCATTTGAAAGCATTTAAAATAATCTACATCTATGTTGCCGTTACTCACGTAAGGGTACGATGTGTATGGAGCGGGGGCTGAAGTGTCATAGTACTGGTACTGGGCGGGGGTGTAGAGGGCTCCACTGAGGGCGAAGGGCTGGGGTATCTGACGAGCGTACAAGTCGCGGTGTGGGAGCGCCTGGAAGGGTCGGCCCTGCAGGAGGTGCGCGGCTTGGCCCAGCACCAGTGGTACGACTGGAGACACCAGCAACACCAGCAGTGATAGTAGAGCCATGACTGGTAGAACACTGACTGAGGAGGTGAATGTCGAGGGTTATGTCATAACGCGACCTCCTTACACCGCCACTAGCTGCCCCACCCCGCCTTATCAATCCACTCAATTGAAAGAGCAATGTTTGTTTTGGTCAAACGCTATTAAGGTTACTATGCATCGAGCTGATGTGTTTGAGGGGATACATCAAGATACAACATGTTTTAATACTGTAAAGACAAGTGGGACATGCATATAACATCGGACAGTCACTCTGTCAGGGATCGAAAATAACCATCCACCTTGTCTACGGGATTTGGTACTGAACATTTGCTTTGACTTTCGGTCTCCAGGGCCTTTTGAGGCTGCAATGAATAAAATGTAATGGTTCTTACACAACCCTCTCGGTGATAGTTGTCTAACAATATTTAATTGATACCGTACATTTTTTTCTTGCTATGTTTTTGGTTCTTGACTGTTAACATCATCGTCAAGAAAACTACCTCCAATCTACCTTCCACGAGACTATTCAACTTGACAAAAAAAATGCTTTATTAAAACAAAAATACTATAATAATGCAGTAAATAATACTTTGCAATATGCACTACACTAACTATTATCTATAACAACTGTTGACAAACATAACTGTTTTTGTCAGCTTTCCTGATCGAGCTATTACGTCTACCGGCTTTTCCCATCCCAACATTGCGAGGTGTTTCACATAATTAGCATACAACGATGCTTGATTATTATACAATTATTAATTAAATGTAACTGTCGTTATGTAACATGACCATACTCGTATTATCACTGCACGCATGTCATTCAGTTGATATAATTTACACAAATACCATCAAGTTTACTAGTAATATAAAATTATTGAAGTAGGGTGCTGTCATAAGGAAGGGGAAAATGTTTCAGTTAAATAGTATGAACGAATATTCAACCCATTTTCTCTTATAATTAAGAAATGAATGATAATACAGACAAATAATTTAAAAGGATTTCTATGTTTTGCTCTTCTGCCAAGGTCTAAAAGGTAATAAAAAATATTATACTATCTAATTGTAAAATAAAAAAATGTAAATATTGTAAATCCAGACCAAAATAGACCAATAAATAGCTACCGCCGAAACGTGTATTCTCATGAAGGTATTAACATTTCTCAGTTATGGCGTCTAAATAGTTTGATGTATTTAGAACATTATATAAAGCACTTATATAACTCGACATCGGGGATGTTTACCACCAAGGACCAGACTCCCGTGTTTGTAGGTTATATAACTAATTGCTCTGGTTTTATTTACTTTGGCTCGTCGTACAGAGGAATATTGTGCTATCGCCGACACAGGGGAATTCGTGTTGTTTTTGTATCAATGTGACATTGGAATATTGAATCGATGAAATTAAATTATTTGAAAGTTTTTTTATATGCTAATTTGTGAACTAAATTACTAAGGCCTTATATTTCGTAGGGTTGTGTCGGTAGGGAATTATTTGTAATAAATACGTAAAGTTCATTATGTATCTTTCAACTTTAGATTAAGTTAATTAACTAATAAATCTAACAAAAAACCACTAAGTGGTAACACTTTCCCCGCCTAGTCAGCAATCCAAAAAAGATAATAAATCATTACTTTTTCCGCCAAGAAAAACAATGTAATGTATGTAAGTTTGGCAACTTGGCGGCAGACTTTTGCTTGGTTTTTTTCATTAAAGTTACGTTCGTGGATAATTTCACAAATCAACTTCTCTAATTAATTAGTCCAACTAAGTATAATAATTTCGAGGTAATCAGTAAATATAAAACCATTACTATTATGATTTTATGAAATGTGGCACAAATAAGGTCAAATTTTGTAAAATAAGCTCTCACCTAGCAATGTACTAATGGGAGAGATACTTGCTCAATGAAACTAGTTTTATGGTATTTTTTAAAGTGATCGAGCAAAAGTCTGCCGCCAAGTTGCCAAACTTACATACATTACATTGTTTTTCTTGGCGGAAAAGTAATGATTTATTATCTTTTTTGGATTGCTGACTTGGCAGGGAAAGTGTTACCACTTAGTGGTTTTTTGTTAGATTTTATTTATTTTTGTAGAAAATTAACAGTTAAAACAAAAATCCCCCTTTCTCTGATATTGACCACGGCACAACTAAATCTAATTTAATTTAAATAATATTGTTTGTGTAGAACTAAATTCTACATTTTTTGTCTTATCTGTTTTAAACCGATTAAAAACACACGTACCAAAATTTCTATTTAACAAACCCCCTGGGCTTAAACTCAGTTTCAAATTTCATCAATGGTCATCTTGAACAACATAAAATGCGTTGGTGTTACATAAGTGTTCTGATAATTAAACCCGTACATCTAAAGAATAGTGTAAATTTAGCCCTTATTAGAGCGGTAAAACGTAATCAAACAGATTAGGTTTGTTAGAAATAGCATAAGGCACAACAAATATTGAATAACTCATTTATCCTAAATTTACATCTCACTATTTAATTGCTTGCTTAACATACGTAGAGTGATTTTCCCGATTGTTTTATTTGTTTTGGTGTATCAAAACATAAAACCAACCTTATTACTAGTACTAAGTTTCAAGTTCCTAGGTTTCATATGTTTTGATAAGTAGTTTTAAACTGTTAAAAATGACGAGCTGCTGTACCAGTGTACCATCGGTACACTGCATTTTTCAATGGAAAGTATCGGGGAATATCACTGCTCTAAGTAATTTTATATAGTAAGTAGTTCAAATCATTCTGAAAAATCTTACTAATATTATAAATGTGAAAGTTTGTGTGTTTGTTTGTTTGTTTGTTTGAAGTTCAATCACGCATAAACCACTGGACGGATTGGGCTGAAATTTGGCATGATGATAGCTTACATTCCCGATTAACTATAGGCATATTCTTATCTCAAAAATCCTTTCGGGCTCCGCCCCAGTGGCTCTGTAATTCCCCATGTTAACCTTATAAGTATTCATATTTAAAGGGAATTAAAGAATTTAGTCAGCTGTTTCAACTAAAAAAGTTGGTTCTATGATATGGAAAAGCATTAAAAAGTTATAAGATTTACCAACAGGGTGCAGCACTATATTTTTTTTGCATTTATGAAAACAGCTAATTTGAACTAAGCAGCAACAAAAAACTGTGATTCGCAATGAGAACTGTCAAAGTAGGATTGTTTACAGTTATGTTTATGTTTTTCATTTCATGAATAATTTGTGATATTTTGCGAATTGATAATTTATTTTTCTCTATTGTTTGGTGAAATGGTAGAACATTATGGCTATGGTAGATGTGTAAAACTATAGAATACTGTAAATTTAAAAAAAAGCAAATTTTATCAAACTGTGTCCTCCGCCCATTGCAATCGCAAAGCTTAAGTATAACTGCAATAAGCATTTTATACTTATATTCCAACCCCGTACGAAGGACGGGTACTCTGCTAGTACTTTATAAAAGTTTTAAAATAATTTTTCAGCTGTTCCTAAGAATTTCTCTAACATTTAAATTGATTGAGATTTAATCGCAGCTGGCCCTTATTTTGTTTTGATTTTATTCCCATGTTATTTAAATGGGCCAAAATCGTACTTTGAGAGCTTGCCAAGAGTTTATGGGTCAATGCACCGACTTGAGACCCTCAAAAGGCACATCTACACGTTAAGGGCTTTCAAACAACATAAAGAACATTAAAATTGAGCCAGTGGTTTGGGCTGTAGGTCCGTCAACATTCAAGGAGAAGGAGGAGAAGGAGGAGGAGAAGGAGAACACGGAAAATTTGCGAATTTTCAAACTAGTTTTTCTTGGCTCAAACACAACCGTTTTTTTAAATCTTTTTTTTTTATTTTGTTGAGAATGAGTGCCCCTATCCAGTAAATAAATAATTATTTTAATAGCTTTTGTTTCTTCAGAGCTATAGACGAGTAAAAAAGCCACTTTGTCACGTCATGTATATATACACTGCAGCAGCTGTGTACCGCTGAGGGACTTGGCGGGGCGGAACGCTGCCGCGTTCCTTAATAACCAGTTTCCAAAACAAATGTTAGTGAATTTTAATTACAAATCACAATAAGTTTTCTTTAAAAAAAGGAAGCCAGTTTATACATCTTTAAATACTGAAGTTTTGACATCTCGAATGTTACAGTACAAAACCTAATAACCATACAAAAATCGAAAAATCTGCATTTCTAAAATCTTAAAATTTAGTAGGAGAAACTAAAGCAGAAACTCTAGTTTAACAGTTTCATTGATTTTGGACAGTTAAACTATTGAAATATAAGTTTTTCGTATTTTGTTTCATCTTTTTAAGATTATACAAGAAAAGATACCAACAACTAATATAATAAGAATAAATCAAACAAGAATAATAAATAAATAACATTCTTGACCACATGTTGACTAACAAAATTTTTTCTGGATAGTAATCCCTTAGTATTTCCTTCAGTTTATAAGATGTTCGGAAGTAAATATAAATATTATAACCTAATGTTTAAAGAATATTCTTTGGCCTTCTTTCTGACATTGGTAAGATAAGTTATGCATATATTTACACTTTACTTACTCCGTAAAATATTCTTACTGTTTCTAATTATGTGCACCTGTGCGTCAGTTTTACTTCAAAATGCAATTACAGTACAGTATGTGTTTGCGAAACAATAAATGGATATTAATTAATTAGATTTTGCCACATGTTTATGCACATACTCTAACTTAAAATTAATATAAAGATAAGTAAGAATTAATCAAATCAACCCCCCGTTGCAATATGAAACAAGCCATGCATGTATACATGTTCAAGGCAATAAAAGAAAATATGGTTTGATTTGATTTCAAACGATACAAATGTTTCAGTTAATTAAAGATGTTCCTACAGTACCGTAAAATAGTAAGTGTAATCATCTTAGTACTTTCCTTTAGTAAGGTTGTAACAGGTGTTCAGTCATCAACGTATCGTCCGTCCTTGATTGACACAATAGAATAGCAATTGCCACACGACATTACCGCTGTGTCAGAGTCAGCCTACTCTAGCTAGGCAAGGACC